TTTCAATTTTTTTTTTTTTTAATGTATATAAATCTTTGGTAGAATCCATGCCCAAAATTATAGATGAAAAATTTATTGCATGAACACAACCCAGCCATATAAATTTTTTATTACAAATAGGGCTCTGAAACTTGAATAAAATATGTCAGTTTATTATACAGTATTCCCCCCACCCCCAAAACATGATATGAATGGAAAATTTAACTTGTGCACTTCTGTGGTGCTCCTGTGAGGTGCTGGGCTGATGGTGGAGGAGAGGAACCTGCTGAATTTCACTGCAGAGCAGGCTCAGCATGGGCTGTGGCAGTGCTGCCTTGCTCGTCTGGCATCGCCGGTCATTTTTTTCCTGCACTATGCAGGGATCACCTTTACTGTTTCCAGGATGGATGTGTCTGCACCTGTGGTAGCTCGCGGGCTGCTCAGAGGCTCAGGTTCTGCTGGGGAGTGGCTCTACAGAGGTAAAAAATGATCTTGGCACCCATTCATTGGGTCTGCGCAAACCAGCAATGAAGAGGGTCACTGCCACCCCAGTGAATTCCAGGCTGGATTCAGCCTGCCCTGGAAAACACAGTGTGTTTTTGGGAGTGCTTTCACAAAGTGTCCTGTCTGTCCCCAGTCAGGTGGCCATGGAGTGGTTTAGCACTGGAAGTGCCATGGCACTCGAAAGAGGCTTTTTTGGTGGAGGAGTGCAACAACACTTCACCGTCTGTGTCACGGTCTACAAAAAAGAACAACATTGTCAGTCTGTTGACATTGGTCCTGTCCACGGGCCAGACTTTCCTGGGAAGGTTTTATTCTTTCCAAACAATGGAGCGCTCCCTTCCAGTGCCGCCAGCCCTGCTTCCATGCAGCCGCCGAGCAGCCCAGCTGGAGCTGTGCTCCTGCTGCAGCTGAAAAGGAAAACTGCAGCCTGAAAAGTCCAGAGCTTCTGTCCCAGAGCTGGAGGTCCCTGCCTACGTAGGGTTTGGGATCAGGCAGATCTGGGGCTCAGTCGTGCTGAGGTAGCATATGCTTAAGGAACAGATCCAAAGAGGAACAGAGAATAGAGACATGATAGGAAATGCTACTTTGAAAAACTAGCCAGTTTTGTTGTTTGCGGGGGTTTTTTTCCCCTTTATCCCTTAATCAAAATTGATACTTGGAAGTAGAGAGTAAAATAGCTTCAACATGTTTTTTTGATTCTATTTGCCATGGTTGTGGTTGATATCAGATCCCCTTGAGCTTCTCTTGACCAGTAACCTTGAGCCCAGTGCACAGTTTCACTCAAACCCCAGCTAGCTCAGGGTTAAAAATTCCAACCACTAACTTTTCTCGAACTAAAAAAGCCCCCAAATAAAACCCATTGTGCTATTCAAGGTTAAGCTTCCTTAAACATAAAACTAGATTCCTTGGTGATTTTTTTTTTTAATCAGCAATCTTAATAGTGGTTCCTCACTATAATATTTCCAACTCCATCTGAAATCATTTAAATCCTCCCCTTAATAACATGCACTTTATTGTAATATACAGATTCTTTGGCTTCCTACCAGCCTTAGCTTAAGGCACCAATGAAACTCGTTACTGCAGGGGGCCGTGGATTCAAGAGGGCTCACATCTACTGTATATTTTGTTTTGTATGTTTTCCAATGGCTCTAATTATTGCAGGTGGTAGAATTTAACTGGCAGTGTTTTTGCTAAAGAAAATAGGCATAAAGTGTATACTGTTTTGCAGAGTGGCTATCAAATATATAGAAAAGAGAAAATCAAATGAATTGTTAAACTCCTCTATAGTAAGTGATTTTATTGATTTAATGCAAATGCTTATGAAAACGATCTTCCATTTATATCAATTATGTATGGGCAAAAATTAATTTATTCCTTCGGTCACCTGTTTGGCTAACTGACTCAGCAGGACAGACATTCCCCCTCCTGTTGTAGCCGAGCCCGCAAAACACAAAACGTTCAGAAAACTGGAATTTGAAAGTTTCCATGTGCAAAACAACAAAAAAGCCCCGACAGGAGTTAGTGCCAACTGCTGAAAAAGCAAAGAGCGAGTGGTGGAGGCTGAGCAAGACTCCCTCGTCCTAGGCAAGACTGTAAAACACAACGGCTCTGATTTTGCCAATCCCTTAACCATGTGGCGGCACATTTATATGTGCCGGATCATCTGCGGCATCTGAATAAAATCAGGGAAGCAAAATTCTGCATATAAACATTTTGGCTAAGTGCCTCAACTCAGTCTTCTTATCTGGGGTTTCCACAAGATGCCACCTTGCATAACAAAGCTGAGCACACGCTTGCCCAGTCCACGTTTTCGGTAGCCTCCCGTGATCCCCACCGCAGGATTGAGTGGCTTTAATTCTACCTCATCCTGTGTTTTGCTGCCCTGTGCCTCTCCATGAAGAATAGTGCTTAAAGCTGTGTTGTCTTTTCCTAGGAAATTAATATTTAATTTCAGCAGAAGGGGCGGGTTGCGGGGAAGCAGAACTAGGAAAAAACGCCATCGCCAGAACCGAGGTGATAAAAGGAGAAAGTTAAAGATTCAGCATGCAAACGAACATCCTACGGCCAGTGGAGCCCCTCTTGTGCCACTAGCCTTGGTGTTGGAAAAACAGCACTCGAGGCAAACAAAAGTACTTTGTTTGTTCCTCCCAAGGCAGGAGCAGCTCGGGCTGCGTGCTGCCCACCGGCTGCGGGGCTGTGCTGGAGCCAAGGTGCCAGCACCGAGCCCGGCTCCCGTGGCCGCCACCGCCGCCCTCTCGCCGCCTCCCTGGCTTGTTCCAAATTTAAGGGAAAGGAAACATGCTCCCAGTCCCACGTTTCAGCAGGAACTCCTCCAAATCTGTAAATTTTTGTGGAATTCCGAGCCTACTTGAAACGTAAAGCCCAAGCTCTGATTGAGCCATGGCTGGCTGGAGGGAAAGCAAAACCTAAAAAATAAGGAAAAGGCTAATGCCCACTCTGTAAAATTAAATCTGTTGAATGTTGACTTTGAATGTTAACTAAATACTTTACATTCCTAATATTTTACCTTTGTTTCTACCTTTGCGGTGTGAGAAGCAAAAAACTTCTTGCCAAAATCCAGAATACAACAGCACTGCATGCTACCCCCATAGTGTATCTGCTGGCACTGATTTCAGCTTCAGGGAGAGATAATTCAGTAGATCAATATTTAAAACAAAATTGCAGAAGTGAGGATTTTTTTTTTCCCCCTTAGCTCCATTGGCAAAATTATTAAAAATAATAAATACAAAAGAGGGGGAATGGATTCTGGGATGCACTGGGTATATATCACTTTTTAGGGGGATTTAATTGATTTTAAATAGAAGCATCGTGACTGAAGCTTTCTTTGCTAAGTACTCAGCATGTTTTTATTCTGAAATTTATCAAGTTTTGTTTTGTGAGTGCTTTTTTTTACTTGTAGTTTTTAATTTATACAAGGTTGTCCTCTAAGCTTCTGAATGATACCTAAAGCAGACAGTCAGCAGGTAAAAAAAAATTTGAATATTTAAAATAGGCATTTTCTTTATAGTGCTCTGTGGTAATTAAAATCTTCATTTGCTTAAAAGCAAGGAACCTTTTTAAAGCAATAAATTAGCATTGCTTGACCCAAGGTCACTAGTAGTACTGCTTCTTCCAGCACTATTAATACCTCAAAGAAAAAGAAGGGGTGGTGTTATGACTCTGTTGCAATAGAAGTAAGATTTTCAATTTAATCACAGTTAAGTGTCGTGACCTTTTGATCTTGCATTGACTTCTCAGTGAAATGTGGTCAAATTTCAGACAGCTTGTTCCAAACTCTGCAAAGTCAAGGTGAAGTCAGAAAATGGGTTTGTCACGATGAGAGGTGGTGTTGAGGCATTAGCAAGAGGTTTCATCACCTAAGTTTTGTTTCACAGCAAAAACTTGTTCTACGGGATCAATAAATTACAGAACAATTTCTGGGGAAAGGAAAAAAATGTATTAATTGCAAAAAAACAGTAATTTGAGGGATTTCTTAAAAAATATTTTTTCCCACAGGTAAAGGGACTTTTTTTTCCAGTTCATAGTGACAGAAATAATTAAGAAGGAAAATACTATTTGATAAAGCTTCTGCTAAGAATAATTTTTGGACCAAAGAGCAATCATCTTCACATAAAGTAGAGTTAATAACGTGTAAAAAATGCAAAATACTCATATTTACACATACCCCTTTATAGGTCATTTATTATTTTAGGCAAATAAATTTTGCTCGTCGGAGAGTGTTAGCTGGGAGGTTGTGGGATTATTTACACAAGTTCTAAAGCAGGTCATCCAGTATCTGGACTCACTTATCCCACTGCAAATCACCACCAGCACCATGAATTTTAGGGATCTTGTGGTGCTGTAACCACTGTGAAAGTACGCCAAAAAAATCAGCTCTTCCCTCAGTTTTGCAGATTTTGTTCCAGAAATGTGGAGCCAACAATCTCCACGACTATGTAGGGTTGCTAAGTTACCTTTCTATGCCTGCTTGGAGATAATGTTTTGAGACTTTACTATGTGTTGGAGTAAGGCTCTGGTTTGTATACAACATAGAGGCTGCATTATAAAAAACATGTAGGAGAGTCATTTAAATATGCCTTCTTTAAAAAGAAGGATTCTCAAAGCTTAATTTATGCCAACACACACCCCAAGCACTCTGTGTAGTGCCACAGACAAGATTCCCTTTTTAAATTTTTTTTCTTTTTTCCTTTTTTTTTTTTTTTTTTTTTTTTTTTTTTTTTTTTTTTTTTTTTTTTTTTTTTTTTTTTTTTTTTTTTTTTTTTTTTNTTTTTTTTTTTTTTTTTTTTTTTTTTTTTTTTTTTTTTTTTTTTTTTTTTTTTTTTTTTTTTTTTGGCTAGCAAACATATTACCTAGGCACGGGACTTTTGCATTATCATGTCCTAGTGCAACACTCCTGTCCTCAGTTTGTACTCTCAGCCTTTTGAGGAAGTCTGGCGCCTCTGATCTATTTTCCACAGCAGACCCTGTAATTTTTGGCTGTATTTTATGTTTTTCAGATTCAAGTCAATCTGAAAGTCCCAGCCAGCCAAGTGAAGCTGATATTAAGGACCAGCCAGAAAATGGTAAGTTCTTACCTGCTGCTCCTGCTTTGGGATATTAAAACAGCCCATATTTATAAAGATTTTTTTTCCCCATGTCTAATATAAAAAGATGATTCAGAATAATTGACATGGGATGACTACAAACAGGTTGTGCACTCTCCTCATAGTTAAAATGCTACTGTTTCACTAATCTAAGGTAGCACTTCTTTGTCCAGAGCTGGAGAGAGACTTTTTTTTTTTTTTTTCCCTTTTAAAATTAATTTTAATTAGGGAGATGCCATTAAAGAGCCTGCTGTATGCAACCCTTATCCTTATTCCTCCATAGCAAAGGCTTTCAGTCCCTGGACCTTGAGTCACGACATTCAGGGGAGTAGATTCAACAGGAAAACAGATCAGGGAGGTTCAGCCACAGCTCCTTGGTGCTTCTCTCCATGTTCTCCAGTGGCTGGAGTGGAACCATTAGAAGAACTGGGACTTTTGGGAAAACTGATATTCTCTGGACCAGGGCAGATTCAAAGTAGAAGCAATGGCTTCTACTGAACCAGTGGCTTGCTTTGTAAAGCAGCCTGCAAAAAAAAAAATTAAATAATAGTGTATTTCTGTGGGGACTGTATGTGAAAAGATGACTATGTGTGTAATGGAACAGCTTCTCTTCCATTTTGTGTTTAGCTAAGGTAGACCTCAACAATTTTTGTTGGACCATCGGCAACTGAGTTTTGTTTTAATACTTATATTTAGGACTTAGAATAACGGATGATTGTTATTAGTAGTTTTTCATGACCTCTTTTATCTATAACCAGGACATTTTTTAATAAGACCTAAAGGCAGATTTTATAATCCATTGTACTTGGGGTCTACTCTACAGAAAAGAATTTGTGTGAAGGGTTTCTGCCTCTGAAGCCCTGTCCCCATTTCTGGGATGTGTAAATCCACGTAGAAATACTGTATCTGTAACAATACATGTCTGATTTCACTTTCTCAGAGCAACTAACTGCTTTGCCTTAAACCCCTACAAGGGACAGTGAGGCTGAGGGGCTTCATCTGGACTGCTTTGGGGTTAGAGTTTAATATTAAGGGAAGAAGAAGAGGTTTAAGTACATAAAAACCTTTAACTACCAGCATGAATCATAGGACATGGAACATAGGGCTCATTGGGCTGCTGAGATTTTGGCTGCTTGGACTCCTGTATTTTCCTCCCATTAGATATGAAAGGTTTCATATTTTGATAGATTTTGTGCTGTTCATCTCTAAACATACCATCTTAAAACATTGCTGTTGTTTCTGAAAGACAGCGCCTAATTTCCCTTATCAATCCTGTTCACAGAAATTCTCATTTGTAGCCAAAGGATTGCAAGGTTAAGAGAAGAACTGACTAAACTGTGATTTTTGTTCTGCCAATTCTGCTATTTTTTTTTTTATGGGGAATATGTTGCCTGTGTTTATTAAATCATATTTTAATTTAGAATGTATTAAGCACCAAGCATGTTATTATTTCATGTTTAGATAATATTCTTTCGCAGTTATTAAAGCACAGTTCATCTTACCCTGCAGTTTCTTAGTCTTTAACAAAGCTTGCTACTCAACAACTGCCCCGAAAAGCAGCAATGTCAGTGTTTAATAATGTAGAATCTGTAAAAGCCTAGTGAAATGAAATATCTCTGATTTAGACCCTGAGTCTTCTTTGTAAAACAATCTTTTAGCGAATTCTTGGGACTTTGCTGGTGACCTGCAAAAGGTACTTTTTTTTTTTTTTTTTTTAATAAACAGGAAAAGGATTTTTCTCTTTTTTTTTTCTCAGTTTTACTAAAGGGTATTTTTCTTCCCCACCACATCAGCAGCCTCCTCACTGGTTCTGCACCTTCTGCAGTGCGTGTGTGGGAGATTTGTTAAGCCAGAGTGTTGGCCCTGAAGGGCTCCTTCCCCCCGGGCAGGCTGAGCTCATTCCCAGCACACACAGCCCCCAGCTCCGGGGTACCCGGCGTAGATCAACACAAATCTGCAGCTCTTATCTCCTGGACGTGAGGATGAAAGCAAAACTGCAGGCTTTAGAAAATGAAAAACTGCACGCACAGAAACGGACACAATAAATCATATTAACTGCGTTGTTCTACACTTGCTGTAGACCCACTTCCACAGGGCCTGATCCAAATCCCTCCGGAGTCAATGGGAGGCTCGTAATTGATTTTACTGAGAGTGGGAATGAGCCCACACAGAGAGGAAATTTTTTCCTTTTTTTTTTTCTTTGACTCAAAGAAAAAATAGAATCGTGAATAATCTCATTCCCACTGATGCCAACAGTGGAGTGACCAGATTGAGGGCAGATTTGGAAGCATTTTTGCATGTGTTTCTGGAAGGCACAAAGAAGTGTATCGATTCAGTGCTGCCTTTTCCATGCATGCATTCCTTCATTTTAAAAAAATAAATCTTTAAAGGCCTTGTGAGGGTTATACAGCCTCTCTACTTGCCTGTTAATATCCTTTCTGTTCCACTCCATAAATTCTAGAGCTATTTATTATACACATATATTTTGCATACCTTGAGTAATGTAGGTTCAGGAGGGTCAACTGTACGGCCCTGAAAAAGAAGGCCTCCTACTACAGATTTTAATTTATCATTCTAAATTGTATGTGTTGTTTTGCAAAGCCTGTATGTCTAACCTTCATTGAAGTGAAGTTCATGGAAGAAAAATATCTTCTTTTTTAGAGCCACTCCTGGTTTTTTTTTCTAGTGGGCTTTGCTGGTTCATTTTCTGGAGCAGGATCATCACAGACAGGGAAGATGGTGACATCTTCTGCTCTTAGTGGTGGTTTCAACACCAACTCTGGTCTTTCCCTCAGCCTTCATTAAGCCAGAATAGTTTCCAGGCAGTCATCCAATCACCACTGCAAATATTTAACAGAAATATTAAGCATTTAATTTTTTCTAAAGAGAGAGATGCAGCATGATGGCCATGAAAAGCAAACATGCAGGCGAGACAGGACTTGTTGGTGCATGGACGGTCCAAGGTCCAGATGTTTTGTGCTGGAGCTGGGGGTAAAACTAACACAGGGTGTGCACAGTGCTGCTCCGTCACCATGGGAAACAGCTTTTTGGGGAGAGGCAGAAAATCCAGAATTCCTCTGCTTGTTACATGGGTGAGGAAATTTGCAGGAGGAATAATGAAAGAGGCCAGCAACTTCTTCTGAAAGGCAAGAACATTTTTTGATGCCCTGATATTTTGCACAAACGAGGGATTTTTTTCTGACCAGCTGGGTGGAACACCCATGTGGAAAATTCCCCACTTTTGTAGTTGCCTAATGGTATGTAAAAGCTTCATTTCAGTTGGCACCACAAAGTGATTTTGCAATTCACCCAATCAAAAAAAAAAAAAAAAAAAAAAAAATAGGGGTTATTGATTTTAAAAGCTTGTTAAATGCACTGGTTTGGTGTTGTGTGTTATAAACAAACTAGTTTTCAGCGAAGTGAGGATGACAAAATGGGTAGTCTGATGTAGTGAAGTGACTGCATGCCTGGGGATCAGGAACAACTGAATTCCCAGCTCAGCACTGCTGTGGACACTCTCTCAGGCTTTTATTCTCACATTCAGTCATGGAAACAGTTATCAGATAGATTTTCTTTTTGTAAGTAGGATTATTTTCAACTTTTGTAGGGAAACTTTTGGTCTTTTTGCCTGCAAAGTGGGGATATTCGTGATTCTGGCTTTGAGAGAATATGAAAAGTCAGATCCTGCTCTGCTCCATCAGGAGCTGAACTCTGGAGAAAGGCAGGGAGGATGCAGCAGAGCAGTTATTAACTGTGGCACAGAGCTGTGCTGCTGCTGTCGGTAAATGGATGTCAGGCAGTGCTCGTGTTTGATGTGGTGGCACTGGTGAATTAATAAGTGCAGCGTAAAGGTGCACACGAGGTGTGCTGTGCAAAGCAGGAGAATGCTGTGTCATTTCTGACAGCCTCTCGAGCTGGGGACTGTGGTTTGGTGGCTCAGAGTTGGTAGCACAGCACTTTGATTGTAGATGAGCGAGCTCTTTTTAAAGAAGTTGGTAAATTCTCCCCATTTCAAGTGAGCAGGCCAGCATTCATTATTACAGCTGATTGCGAATGTGTGCCAAATCCATTGCTCAAACAATTTCTGAAGAGGGAGGGGGATTTTTCTAAAAAATAAAAATGTGTAATGCCCAAGCCAAATGCTTTTTAGCTTTAATGCAGTCTCACTGCTTTGAGCTGCAAGTACCTTAACAGCACTGCAGGAAATGAAAGGCACATTGTTCATTGAAACATTAAAAAAAAAAAAAAAAAAAAAAAAAAAATGATGCACCGTAACTTGTAGAACTCGTTTTTCAGCCCTGCAGTAATTACACTGGACTTGTAAATATCATCTGTGAATTCTTTGCTTAAGTAGGGTCGGACTTGAGTATTAAACCTTAAAGAAAGAGTGTTTAAGTATATGCTTACTTTTCCATGCCTAAAAACAGAAAGGAAGAATTTCTGGTCCTTGAGCTGTGGCAGAAAGAGAAGGCCACAGTGGGAACAAATGCAAAGAGAAGTTTCTTTTTCTGCAGGCAAAGCTGGTCACAGAAGGCATGATTTAGCTTTGGCTAAAAGGGAGGAGGAGATTACCTGCGGGAAGACCCCTCTGCAGGCTGCAGAGTCCAGTCCCTCTGTGGATGATTTGTTTCTGGTCCCAAATGTGGCATTCCAAGCAGTGGAAGCAGTGCCTGCCTGGCACAAGCCTTGGGCACTCTTCTGGGACTCAGAGTCCACCCTTCAAACCCTGATCCCAAGCAGAGAACGAGTGACTGTTCCTGGTGGCTGTCCCCATCACCCAGCCAGCGTTGCAGGTTCAGTGGCAGCTGAGTGACATCCACTTCCTTCCACAGCCAAATTTTTAACAAGGGGAAAATATTCTGCCTTCCAAGGCCGTCCCTTCTGCTCAGGCCATGCCTGACCTCTCCTGTGCACTGCTTCAGGTGGAGCCCAGCTGCCTCACAGGCTTTCAGAGCTAAAACAGAGCTTGATGCCAACTCTCCAAGGAGGTGCTGGGGTTGTCTGGGAGCTCCTCTGTCCTTGGATAATCCCCTGAGCTCCCACCTGAGGAGTGCAAGGACATGAGCAGTCCTCTGAACACACAATGCTGAAACCAGTGCTGTTAGAAAATACAGGGTCTCAGATGACTAACATTCCTGAAACACCTCATTTTCAGGAGATAACTGAGCCCTGCAGAGAAAGTTTTCTATCAGTTACAGCTGCAAAGGCAGTAATACAGTAACGGCGGCTTTTATTAACGTTCTTGTTCATGGGATTATTTGCATCAGAATCTTATAAATGCAAGAAGACTCTCCTCTCTTGTTTACAGAGCCACGCTGAGGAGTTATCACAGCCTGAGGGACTAATCTAAAATTAACTTTCTTCAGAAAAAGCTTTAAAAAAAAGCCCTTAGCATTTCCAATAATGAATCTCATCGCTGGCGCTGAAGTCAGAGCTCCTGGTGATGTCAGCTTGTTTGCACCTTTGTAACTTGCCAGGACCAAATTCTGAACAGATTTGCACCCTTACGGATCACGTTGTCTGCTGACTGGGAACAGCAGTGGGGAAATGTGTCCAGGCTTGGAAGCTGTGGCCGAGTCGGGGAGTACTGGTGGGGTTGGTCTCTTCTGGCTTCCCTAGGACTGGGCAGGACAGGCTGTTGACTCTAACAGGACCCATCAGCCAAGAAAGGTCTGATGAGGTCCAACCTGTGTTTCATCACCCCCTGAGAGTGCCTGTAGGCAGCTCTGAGAGCCAGCGTTTCCCAAGGAAACAAAAGCAGATATGTCTGGTTATAAATTTAGCTTATGTGTGATGTAGTCTTGCATTTCCTTCATCTTGTTTCATTGCATTACAGTCCCAAAAAGAACTAGAAATGCAGCATTTCAATCATAATAATCTAGAACTGAAGCTTTGCAGTGTCCAGGTGTATTTCCCATCCAGATTCATGACTTGTCATGAAGAATCATCTGAATTATTAGGAAAGAAAACACAATTTTTCCCTATAATACCATGTGCAGACTGTGAGGCACAGTTACAGCATTTCCAGGATTTAGTGGGGCCTGTGGTAGGCTCAGGATTTAGCCTGCTTATCCGTGGCTGTCACTCTCTTGGGGGAATCCAGTGATGGCAAGTGGCTCTGACTGTCAGTCAGGCCAGCAATGGGGACGTCAGTGGGGTCAGCTGTGCAGATTCTGCTGGGGATGGCTGAGGACCCTTCTCATCAGTGACCTGCCGTGCTCGAGGCTTGGGGATTGACAGAGGACTTCAGTTTCCACTGCTGCTAGCCATTAACCTTCACAAGCAAAGCATTCCCACAAAAAATTCATCCAAGGCGAGTATGACAGGAAATATTCAAAGCATGAAATGAATGCTTATAGCATGACAAAGCAGCGCTTGAAAGACATGAAACGTTCATTACGCTTGGAGTGGCTGAGCACTGCAAAGGAGAGGAGAAATAAATGTGGCTCCAGTATATATTTTTATTTCCCATTGTGTGTGTACAGAAAAAAGGCAACAAACCTTTCCAGTGGATAAGGAAAAGCAGGATAAGCTGCAATTATTCTTAAGTCGCTTCAAAAAATTCATTTTTATTCTGTTGCTCCGTCCTGTTCCTTTCCATGAATCTTTATCCACGAGATAACAGCAAGGGCCATCTAGAGGGCAGCTTGGAAATGGGATGGCCAGGAGCAGCCTCTTAGGGAACTCTTGAGCTTCCCTTTGCGGGAAGGATTGTCTCTGTGCCGAGGGCACCTCGGTGTCAGGTCACTGCCTCCTCCTCGGTGGCAGCACTGGGATGGGCAGGATGTGCCATGTTCCAGGACACAGCAGCTGGAGCTGGGAGCAGCCACCAGCTTTCACTACAACTGGTTTTGATGTCTCTCTTCTTGAGAGAGCTGCTGTTTAATTAACAGCTGAGGGCTGAGTTGCATCAGGGTAATTGCGGCCGCCGGAGCGGACCACAGGCTGAAGGATGCCTTGGAACACCACCCTGCCCACCAGGAAGCTGGGCACTTAGGGAAAGGAGTTTATTTGTGGTGTGGGCATAGTTTAATTTCTGTTGAGTGGAGAGGGGAGTTTATTAGTGGAGAGAGGATGTGATGCCAAGGTCTGGCTTGCAAAACAAAACCCCAAACCTTTCTATTTGCCTTTCTATGTAAAAATTCCCTAATGCTCGGTAATGTAAGACAAGGGGAAAATTTTACTTGCAGGAGAATTGCCTTCCACAATAACCAAGAGAAAAAACACAAAACGCCCACACCAGAGCAGCATGATCCAAAATGTGAACTTTTTACGCCTCCCCAACCTTCTAGGTTAGGCTTCCAACCAAGTGATCTTTTATTATCAACATGATATACCCTTGACATAATTTGGCGCAGTAAAGCTTCTTCTGCTGAACTCGTGATTTCATTTACTAGATCTGATGAAAGTTCTGTGAACCACAGTAAAATGTGATAATTAGTAGTTTAATTCTTTTAGGGTGTGCGTATTAATTGAAAAGGCTTGAACTATAAATACAGGGCCTGTGGATAAAAGCCCCCTCTGAAATCAGTCGCTTCACCGAAGTATTCATTACTCCACATCTATTTAGGTGGTGTCTCTTTGTGGCAGTGGGTGGCAACCCTCCACTCAGAGATCACAGCAGTGAAACCCAGGCTGGCACACTGCTCTCCTGCCATCGGAAGTGCTCCCTGGCCAAAATTTTGCCCGCTGTGGTCAAACCACTGGAAGTTAGGAATGTATGCTGGGAGCTGTGCTGTGCAGATGAGCTGGGGAAGTGCTGGCTCCCTTCCTGCAGAAGTCAGGAGGGGATGAAGGCTTGAGGGAGAGGCAGTGCAGCAATGGGTGAATGGGTGAGTGATTTGTGTTTTCCAACAAGTCCACCCAAAGACATCAGAGATTCTCTGTGTCTCCAGTCCCAGCCAGTCTGGCACTTAGCAAAACAGAGCTTTTTTCCCCACTTATCCTTCACTGTACCTGAGCTACCAGCACCTGAACTTCTGTGGGTGGCTTCAGCCAGAGCTTGGTTCGTGCACATGGGAAAGTCCAAGTGTAGATAAGAGATTGCACTTTCCCACTCACACTCAGGTGTTCTTTTGCTCTTACTTCCTGACCAGCACAGGAGGTGTTCTCTTGCCTCCAGACCTTTCCAAATATATCTACACAATATCTACAAAATGACACACAAATGTGTGTCATTTCTTCACACCTTCCTCTGGTTTCTGCCTGTGGCGTAGTGCCTTTATGAATCTTGTGGTTTTACAGGTACAAGGTGGTTTGCTTTCAAATGGATTCAGACCTTCATACTCATACTTGGTTTGCACACTCAGAAAAAACTCGTATGTCTGCGCACATTGCAGATTCTTGAGTTAATCAGGTGCTTTCCAAGTAACCTTAATTTTGTAAGCCTGGAGTTGTGTGCACCAGCAGGGAGGTGCATGTGAAGGGCAATGCACAGCTCCTGAAAGCAGCATAGGGGACTGCTGCTATTGTCAGGGAGGGCCCTTTAGTGAAACCAGGCTCCCAGATAAAGCCTCATCACTTCTATAGATAATTAGATACTATTTTTTAATTGCTGAAGTTGCTAGGTAGGAGCTGGAAAGAAAGTTTAGGGCGACTCTCATAGAATAAAATCCCCCTGAAGCCTGGCTCTGGTGTGACTGAAATGGAAAAATACCAGATCCGTTTCTTGGAAAGTGAGAAGGAGACTTTTATTTGCAATGGTCCGCAAATATTTTCCCAGGAGGTAGTAAGCATGGCAAAAGGGGCAGGAGGAAGGTGAGGAGAGTGAGGCACAGTTGTAAACACACTCCTTTCACTCTGCTGTTGTTATCTGGCACAAAAAAAGGGTGCTGCAAGTTGTTTACAGCGGTTTGTGTTGTTCGTTTCTGCTCCTTTTTCAGTGCCCTATCTTCACTTGTACAACTTTTTTTCTGGGTTGTGATAGTGTCTGGATAGATTTGGGCAGTGGGGTGGTAGGAAGGTGCAAGTTGATTAAATGTGCTGCTTGCTATGTGCATTTCGTGTCTGCTGTCTTAACATTTTTTTTTGTTAACCACTGTTGCAACTGAAGAAAATGCTGAAGTTTGACAGTTGGGAGTTACTGCTGAGTATGTGCTGTAAACTATATCATCCCTCTGCCTTCTCCCTTTCTCCCCCTCCTGCTGGAACCAAATGATTTATAAAATGCCTTCACATTCTTGAGTGAGTTCACACTATCACCTCCAGGCACTGCACTGAGGAGTCTTAGGAGCGGATGGGAAACGCAGATCTGATAGCTGGTATTTTTCTCTGAAAGGAAAAAAAAAAAAAAAAAAAAAAAAAAAAAAAAAAAAAAAAAAAAAAAAAAAAAAAAAAAAAAAAAAAAAACCGCAAAAAAGGGCTGATTAAATTTAAAGGAGAAAAGTTTCCTGCTGTGTCCCAGAATAAATCTGTAGTCAGTGAAGCACTTTCTAGTAAACAAGAGATGTGCGTGGTACAGTGGGGTTTTATTATTACCCACTGCCATTGTTTTCCATTTTCATAAGATTCAATTAATGCAATCATTTTAGAGTGTCTCTAATCATTACCTCCCTCCTTCCTGCACTTGCACTTGAAGCAAGGATCACATCCTCTGGTGTGAGAAGCCAGCACCTCGCTCCCATCCCTGGCGAGGGGAGGCACAAAGAAATGATAGGGCTGCTCCAGAGGATCCAAATATTTATCTTCTCTCTGTCTGGCCTTTGCAGGACACATGGCCAGCACCCCAATCCTGGCAGTGGTGTGCCCTCCCATGGGGTCATCGTGGCACCCCAGCAGTCCCCCTTCCCTAGCCAAGCACAAGGCTGTCAACACCAACTCTCAGACCATCCTGGGCCAAACCTTTTTCTAATGTTTCTTCTCCCAGGATCATAAGGGAGGGATACTGCTTATGTGGCTGTACCAATCTTGCTCGCAGAGAGAGACCCCTGTCCCTGTTACTTTTCTATTTAATTCCTTACTCTTAAGATTTTATCTGTAACAGAAGTCTCTTTGACTGCTGCACCTCCCTCTGAAAACCTGCTGGTGTTTGGGGGGTGTCCCCAACTGACCAGCTTTGCACTGCAGACCTCCTGCAATTTTCCCACATGTTAGACCTCAAAGCCCTGATTTTGAAAATCAGGGGATTCGCATTCAGGAAGTTTCCAGCAGCAGAATGCAGAGAGTTGGCCCTGTCCCCCACAGAAGCCATCCAGAGGGAGCCAATTTTACCGTACAGCCGAGCATGCCAGAGCCACAGCTCCAGGGCAAGGGAGGAGGTGAGGGGCAGGAGAGGGTGGACAGCAGCTTGACAGACTGAGGCAGGAGGGGATCCCCACAGATTTTTGTCAGGGAAGGCTTAGAGCAGTGGTTGGGCAGTGGCCCACGGCTCCATTTATATCAATAACAAAGTGGGCTGGAAAGGATGTGACAACCCAAGCAAACAGCTGAGGAGTGAGGCAGCTCAGTGTTCGTGAACCCAGATTTCTGTCTGCCATGGCCATGAAGGATTTGCAGTAGGACTGGGAAATGCATTGGACTCCAGTGGACTCTCCACTGTTAGAAGGAGAGGGAAGTAAAGATCATCCCGTGTACAATATAAATGTAAGTTGTTATTACTACTATTGCTATGTCAGCCGTAAACTGTTCCCACGAGAACAGAGATGCAGCATCACTGAAAAAGAATGTCTTACTGTGAAATGGGCAGCAGAAACACTGTGGCATTATCTGCCAGGCAGTGAATTTACCTTGGTGACAGATCATTATTCCCTCCTGCAAACGAACCAGATGAAGGGCAGCAACACAAGGATAACTCAGCAGTGCTTGTATTTTACAGGCCTCTGAATTGAAAAAAACAAACAAACAAAAAGTAACAGATAAAACTGTAAGGATAGAGAATGTCAAGAGAGATTGCTTGGGGCAAGAAATAGGGAAGAAAGTAAATTTTCTTCCTGATCTATGCTGACATGATACATGGACTAAGACATGGATTTAACAGTAGGCATTAAAACGAGACACCAGTGGTGAACCTAAAATCCCTCCTGTCCCTCTGTAATCACTGGAGATACCAGGTCTTTTGACACTTAATCTCTCTCTGTTGAACCTCAGGGAGTTTTAAAACCAAGATGTTTCAAACACTGCAATTGCTCTGGACCTGAGGTTCTGCTTCTAGAGGAAGTCACCCACCCCTCTCCTGCTCATCCTCACAAGCCAGAGCAGACAGAGTTGAGACAGAGTTGCTCAAGAGCAAAGGTGGATCTAACAGGGCGTGTGGACTTGGCTGAATGAATGATTTCTTCATCATTAGATGTAGGGAGTAGAAGAGTGGACAGTCCATCTACTGCCCACATGTACTTTTTCCCTTTCTGTTTTTCTTTTGAATTCTACAGAATGGGAGTGTCTTAGATAAATTACCATTTTTGATAAGTATTCATGTGCTCTGTAGAAGAATGTGTCTAGGGATGGGCACACTGGAAGAGAGAATTTCCTCCTCAGCTCTTCCAGTGAAGTTTTGTTCTAAACTGCCCAAATGAAGCCATTATTCAAAAGTAAAAATGTTCTGTTCCAGTTCTTGTTTTCATTCTTTCATGTGTCTGGGGACTAAACTTCTGTGAAAAAGAGCCCATTCTCACAGGATGCTTTGCCTAATTTTGCAGACAAGAGAGGTTCAGCTATTCCAATTACGATGAGATAAGAATCTGAAATGTTTGGGATCACATCCATCCTGAGTTGAACTCTAACTTTTCCAAAATCCATCCATCATTATTTTTCCCTTTATTTCTGCATTTCAGTAATACAAGCAAAGGAGGATCAGTGAAGAAACGAATGTTTATGCATCATAAACCATAACAGATGGGTTTTCTTTTACCTGAGTTGCTTTAGTTTAATGCAGAGCTCTCTTCCAGTGGAATTCCTTTTCCTCTTTCATTTTTTCCTGCCAGCTTGAAAGTCAGTCAGAGTACAAATTGTCACAGGCCAGACTGCTGATTATGGCCCAAAAATATGAAGTCTTGGTCTCTGTGGTATCTTCGGATTGTCTTAAACACATGAGGATCCACCCCAGTGCCACGTTTCTGCATCCCTGGGTATTGCCCTGTGCCACACACTGACTGCTGGGATGGGTTAGATGGTCTAGAAAGGCAAATCTTCTTCCACAGGAAAGCAGTGCAAAGGCTTAGCTGTCCAGCCCAGCTTCCAGCAGCACATCCATCCCAGGTCCTCACTGGTACCCCGAGAGCATGTCTGAGCTGCTGCAGGCACCCTCCTGGGATGGGACATCCCACCAATGTCATCTCAATTCCCTGAGCACCTCCCCTGGAACCACCCAGTCTGCCACATGCGGGGATGAAATCCGTGAGGAATGAGCAAGGTCCCTCTCTGTCTCTTCTGTTTTCTGTGTTCATGTTGAATCCCTCACAATGAGTGAACTCTGAGACCCCCTTTGGGCTCCAGCTTGAGCAGATTACACGAGAAAAATAAACTTGGTCCATGTTCTGGCCTGACCTTGGCCTGAACCTGAGAAAGTGAATGCCCCTATCACACCAACATGTGTCTGTAGAAGTACAGTAAACACAAAGGGGGGTCACTGGCCCTCTCTGTCCTGCAGTCCCAGGCCAGGAGTCTGGAGTTTTGGGCTGTCCGCCCAAGTGCTTGTTAATAAATGTCCATTCTTAGTCTGTAAAGGAATGTAGACAGGGCATCCTGCCCTACAAAACACAAACTTAGAATGAAAGGGAAAGAGAGTCTCAGTCATCGTGCAGAGCTCTGCTGCTGGTTTCCACACCCAGCAGCCTCTTCCCACTGGATTTATGTCCCTGGTTTGGGACTTGGCTGGGGAATTGCCCACTCCTACCCTGGGTGTTCTCCACTGCTGTCTGAAGGCGTGGTTAACCCCGCGTGCAGCAGAGCTTGGGAAGTAATCACTCAGTCTCTGGGGCTTCCTCCTCACTGCCTGGGGAGCAGAGACCTGGCAGAGCCTGGGATGTGAGCCTGGAGAGCCTGGGTCACCCCGGGACGAGGCTGTGATGCTTCCAGGGGTGTGCAGTGCTTTGCTTGTGCACCTTCACTCTCCCAGTGGAACCTGTCAGAGGCAGATGATTGCATGGCACGATGTGACTGGTGACAAATCTCTTCCCTCCCCAGCCACAAGAATAACTAAGGTGTAAAGTTAGTTAAAATAACTAATATGTAACCAGGAGACATCAGCCTGTTTGGGACTAAAATCTATCAGAGCTAAAATCTATCAGTTCTGTGCAAAGAGTAGAGGAGTAAGAGACTAGTGGAGAGAAAACTCCAAAAATTACTGTGAATTACAGTTTGGCTCACCACCGGTGTCAGCTGAGAACTGACACCACCACCATCACCAGACCAGGACTTAGCTTCCATGCCCAGCTTCCTTACTTTCACATCACATTTGTACAATCTAATCTTGAGCAGATACTTCTATTATCATGGTGTCTGCCACAGTCTTTTAGAAGTGCCATGGTGTGAGGAGAGGGGAGTGCCAGGAAGGGAGGATGAGAGCAGAACCAGTGGATGAAGTTGCCAGGATTTGTGTCCATATCACCCAGCAAAGTGAGGCAGGGGAGCTGCCCTCACCTGCCCCTGTGCCCAGTAGCTCCTCCTGGACTCTGGGCTTTCCTGGAGAATCCTGCCATGTTATCTGTGTACATGGATATTCCTGTAACTATAAACTAATGTGCACATTAAAAAACCCTGATACCTATTTTTACAGCCCCTTAATTCTGTGTCCTCAGGGCTTCAAACTGCCTCAGTCCAGCTCTGCGAGTGTCTGAAGGGTAACCTTGGAGGGTGCACTTATTTAGCACCAGCTGAGGAGGGTTTTATAGATCCTGAAATAATTACAGCATCCTTCAGTGCAGTTGTATAATTTCTTGGCAAAATGCTAATTAAAACGAGGTATTTACACACAATGCTTATTTAAACTTAAGACTTATTTTAAAGAACCTGCAGACTTCTAGTAACTGTGTATCACAGCTTTATTGAGGATCATGTTTTTCATGTAGATTGTGTTCCCGTGCTCTGTTATCAACGTAAATGAGCCCATGGCTTTATGTTCAGGCCTGAATACTTCCAGGGCATCTGAATCATCCTGATATTTCGTTTCACCACGTAAAATTACTTTTGAAATACTATATTTTTTTTAACTTGCTGTGTTATGGCAATTGGAAATCGCTGTGTTTACTAGGAACAGAGAGTCCAGCAGAGTGGAGTGTTTAATGTGATGAGCAGTGTTAGGAGCTCAAAGAAAAGTCAGATGCGTGTCGACACATATCAAAGCTGTTCTGCTGCTCAGAATGACTGTTCGTGATACTTGTTTCATGATAAACTTCCTCAGAACATGATGTTACTGGAAAAGAAATGATCCACTCTGAGAAACACGCAGGTGACACAGTTGAGTCAGCAGCTTGCAGCAGTGACACAGGCTTACGTTTATAAAAATCCCCTCTGAACTTTTGTCTCCTGCAGTGTGTACATCAGAGCCTTGAAATCTGTCCTGCTTCTTGTTGTCACTTGGTAGCTGTTCAAACTAGCAAAAATCTTCCCACCACCCTGATGAAGAGGTAGATTCCCGGCCTTAAAAGTCTCAAGAGTCACAAAACTTTCCTCTTTCGTAAATAATTCACCTTATAAATGTTAGTATCTCCGGTGGCCAATGGTATCTCCGGGGAAATGGTAAACATGGGAAAATAACAGACTGCTGTGGAAACTAGAAAATCCTACCTCCCATCCGAGAGGGTTTAATTACTAGAGTTGCAAGCGTTTTGCCGTGAACAAGCATCTCGGCATTCATAGGTGGAAAGTACATCATGCTGTGTTTGAAATATCAACTGGATTTAAAAGAAGGCTTTGTGCTTCGGCATGGACCTTTCTTAGCCTCCTGCAGATGGTTCCTGTTGCTGAAAAGAGACATGACTTGTGAGATGGGGAGACCTCCGTGCCGATTTTCCGTGCTGCTCTAATCCTGCTTTACACCCATAAAGGACTTCAGTCCTTAAGCCTTTACCCTCTTTCTCCTAAATATCAAAATTATTTTCCTGAGTGTCATACCGTATTAAAGCAGAATGAAAATGGTTTTAACAATTGCTGGCATGGGGCTTCTGTACAGCATGTGTGTCACAAATCATGTCACTTTTCAGCAATAGGGCTGCTGCCAGCGGGAGGCTCAGAAATGCTCATGTTAATCAAAAATTTTAATTTCAAATCAAATTGACAGTTTACACATGGTGAGAAATGCTTCTCACCATGTGATATTTCAGTATGCTACACTGGGCAAAATGGGTGCACTTTCCTGTTAAGAATTTTGACTACAGTATCTGCAAATTTATGGGTTTCAGTGTATTGGGTATGGTAGTGGTTGATCTAAGGGAGCCCCTTGGAGAATAGGAGACAGAAGGGTTTTCATGCAGCCTGGCACTGGTGAGCTGCTGTTGGCACATGCTGCTGGAGAAATGACAGGTATTCAATAAACATCACTATGGTTAAGAGGAAGATTTAAAAGAGGGAGGGGCTGCAGTGCTATAAACAGGATTTGAAACAAATGTGCTTATTTCAGCCCGTGATTAGTCTGAATACCTAAGTATTCCACACCAGTTTTGAAATATCCTTACGTTTATTTTCACACTGATGTTCGTCACACAGCATGAACAATAATATTTATGGCATTAATACTGTAGCTAAATTGTAATTTGGAGCAGTGTAGACCCAAGTAGACTCTGCGTGTTCCAAGACACGCTCCAGCGGCGTGCGGGCCGGAGCGTGGCCACAGCACACAGCCCTGCCATCGGCTCTTCCTCCTGCCAGCAGCATCCTAGAAATCAGTGGGCAGGTCCAGGAGGCAAAATACCAGCTGATGCTTGGTGAGGAGTGAGAGGAGCAAGGGCAGGGGATGGAGAGAGGAGCAAGGGCAGGGGATGGAGCACGCACGGTCTGCCGCAGACAAGCGAGTTGGACAAACCCATACGTTCAGGCTCCACCAGAAATAAGGTCAAAAAACAAAACAAAAACATCAAAAAATGGCCGGTGGATAGAGCTATGATCCTTACATTATTCTCTTTAGGAGGTTTCCCAGCTGTCTGGGGGGTCCTGAGGTTAATGCAATGCCAAGCTTGTGATTGGGATGTTATTTTACAGGGACCTTGGAGATGGAGATGGGCAGGGATGGCAATATTCCCTTATGGATCTTCCCCTCCAATGCCCATATTTGCCATGGGGTGGGTGGATGCCCATTGGTGGGTGGCCAGGGAGCACCCTCCAGCACCACATGCTGCCAGCTTTCCCTGGAAGCTCCATTTGGACACTGAGTCACTGATAATATCACCACAGACCTTGGAGATCTCAGCTGTCATTGCTCTTGTAACCAGGGTGGATGTGGAAATATGAAGATAAATAACTCCTTCATATTATTATTTTCAGGGAGGCAGGCTTTTCTTTTTATTACTCTTTTTATTGTTGGATGCTATAAATATTCCAGAATTATTATCCCAAGGTAGATTTTATCTCATTTACTTTGAAACGCTTTTGAGGAGGCATATTATTTTATAAGCTGCCAAATGAGTATGACCATTTATAATGATTTTTTCTTCTTTTCTTTAATATTTCATTTTTGGATGGAGGACCTGAAACAGAAATATGGTAATTTAAGACATCTGTTGTTTTTCAAGCTATAGGCCCCTATCGGTATTAATGCAGGTTTTTTTATCAAATTTGGTTTGTGGTAGACAGGGAGATTCTAAATTTTTATCATTACATCAAAAAACAGTATTTAACTGATTTCTCACACGCACAAGTACTGAAATAAGTACCCAATGATGTTAGGAGTCATCAGAAATGAAAACCCACAGCAGACATCATAGATCTTGGAATGGTT